ACAGGCAAATCTAAACTGTGTTCTCAAAAACAACAACAACAACAACAAAATGATCATCACAAAACAAGGACACTGGTAGCTCTGAGGGGTGAGACAGGGAGGGTGTTGTGATTGGGGAGGGGCACACGGCTGAAGGAGGTTTCTGGGGTGATGGCAATTTCATAGTTCTTGGCCTGGGTTTTGCTTACACGGAGATTTATTTCATAATTATTTGTTTGAAATACACGTTGTAATACATTACAGGAATATATATATATATATATATATATATATATATATATATATGTTTTATAGACTTTTCAGTATAGATTTTATAGTTCACAATAAAACACATCAAAATTAAAGGGCATGGAGACTTGCTCTGAAGAACAAAAGGGACTGTAGATTCTGAACGGGAAGGAAGTCGGCTGGGTCTGGAGTGAGAGGAACTCATCAGGTGGGCTGAAGGTGGAGAAACAGAAGAGATTTGATAGAATCTGGGCAGGGAGAATTTGGAGTGATAACCTGATAAAAAGAATCCAAAGAAAGTTCATCTCCCTACCAGTTCACAGCTCTTTAATTCCAGCCACGCCCTCCTAACGACTGTCAAAGTTTTCTTTTGCACCTTCCTGAAGTAGTACATCTATGTGTGCATGCATTATTAAGTACCTTGTTTTCCTTTCACTACACCTATTCTTTATTACTTTTATTTTATTTTATTATTTTGAAACAGAATCTCACTCTGTCGCCCAGGCTGGAGTGCAGCGGCGAGATCTCGGCTCACTGCAACCTCTGCCTCCGGGGTTCAAGCAATTCTTCTGTCTCAGCCTCTTGAGTAGCTGGGATTACAGGCACCCGCCACTACTAGTGAGCTAATTTTTGTATTTTTAGTAAAGACAGGCTTTTACCATGTTAGCCAGGCTGGTCTCAAACACCTGACCTCAAGTGATCTGCCCTCCCTGGCCTCCCAAAGTGGAGGGATTACAGGCATGAGCCACCGTATCTGGACTCTACACTATTTTTGTAATGATCAAAAAACAAAAAAAAAATAGTTTTAGCTGGAACAAAGCAAGCAAACAAATCATAGAGACAAGGTTCATAAGAGAGAATTCCAAACTATCTGCCCAAGCTCATGTGAGGACTTCAGCAATAAGGAAAGGAACGTGAGGGTGATGGTTCCATCCCCTGCCTTCCTGACCACTGCCAGAGCCGGTCCACCCTCCGGGGATGCAGAATGTGGATCCAGAGGTCTCAAGGGTGGAGGCCACTATCTCAGCTCTCAGGGAGCTCCTGACAGCCAAGGGGCCATACCTCGGAGTTGGGAGGCACCACAAACTGGGAGGGGAGGGCGATGTCCGGTATCCGGCATTCCACAGAGAAGGTCACCGAGTAGGGCAGAGGGTTCTCCAGCTTGATGGAGGCTGATGCAATCTGCCGGACGGGGGTCACCATCTCGATGGTTTTGATGATGCCTGAAGGGATGGCCCTGAAGCTCACTGTGTAGTACAGGAACTCATTTGTCACCTCGTTTCGGAAGATCACCTGCATTCACCGGGAGAAAGGGAGGAAGGAGGGAAGAGCAGGGGTGAGCCGAGGGTCATCTGCACATTTTCAAGGGCTCCTTCTCTTTGTTAGCATTGTCTGGCATATGAAGCACAGGTAGCAGGGTGACAGGACCCCTGCAACATACCGGGATCCTTGCCAGCCAGCTTTTCTCATTAGGGATTCCAGTCCGGTTCCTCCCTAATGAGAGATTATTAAGTAGTCTGGGCTTGCTTTAGAAGAGGCTAGAGCAGGACTGTCCAATGCCAGCACTTTCCTGATGGGGACAGCTGGCTACCTCTGGAAAACAAGTGAGACCTCTGAGGTAAGTGGCAATGGGCTTTTCTTTCTTTCTTTCTTTCTTTTTTTTTGAGACCAGGTCTCACTGTGTTGCCTAGGCTGGAGTGCAATGGTGTGACTCGGCTCACTGCAACCTCCGTCTTCCTGGTTCAAGTGATTCTCCTCCATTAGCCTCCCGAGTAGCTGGGATTACAGGCAAGTGCCATCATTGCTGGTTAATTTTTGTATTTTTAGTAGAGACAGAGTTTCACCATGTTGGCCGGGCTGGTCCTGAACTCCTGACCTCAAGTGATCATGTTGGCCTCTCAAAGTGCTGGGATTATAGGTGTGAGCCACCACACCCAGCCACAGTGGGCTTTCTTCCTATTCCTGCTGCTGCTGGGATAGCTTAAAAACAATAGCATCTAACAGTTAATTAATGATTACTGTGTACCAGGGAATAGAAATAATTAGTTAAAGCACACAATCTGTAGGCACTGTTATTATGCCACTTCACCTTTTTTTTTTTTTTTTTTTT